AGAGAGAGAGAGAGAGAGAGAGAGAGAGAGAGAGAGAGAGAGAGAGAGAGAGAGAGAGAGAGAGAGATGTTTCTCATATTATTTGTTGACAGGGTAAGATATCTTGTCCATGCAAGAAAAGAAAAAAAAAATATGGCGCATTCAATATTGTTCCCCAACTTCCTCTTAATATACACCTCCAGTCCTCCTCCGTTTTTCGAAATCACGATCCCCCCCCCCCAATCATCGTCCCGCCGGCATGCCACTTGCGTCGTTGTCTAAGGCAGTTCGCCACCGTCTTTTCTTATCTTCGCTCTCATTGCACGAGCTAGCGTGCGGTGTTCTCCAACACTCTTGTGACCTTTTGCTGCTGCTGCGCACTCTGCAATGCGATCGAGAGCTCTGACGCGGAAGTCTCGAACAATTCTTTCATCGATGTGCATCTTCTCTACAATCTCCAGTACGTCGTCTTTCGAGATGCCATTCCGTGTTGGGGGATGTGCAAGCTCTTCTGCCATGCAACATACATACACACCACAATCCTCTCTGTTACTTTGTTGTGAACACCTCGCATGGATGAGTCCACGACCGAACACGTCTCTACAAGTGTTCCACGACTTGTCCACCAGTTGTCGTGTGACATCCGGACCCCTTTTGTTGTCGTTGAGGTACTCGTGCCACAATAATGTCTTCAACTCCTTCCAATCTGGACTTGCATACCCATGACACGAGTCGACGATTATGGCGTTGGGGCATGTATCATCGGTCCAAAACTCCCTTACATTCAACAATATGAGCAGCATCCACTTATGCTTGTGGTTAATTGGAATAAGCACAAGCGGTGCAACCTCGAGGTCTTTACACTGTAGATGGACTTTGGTCGTCCGACTCTTCACACGCAACACCCATCCCCTTTTCGCTATGTCACCTTGCTGATTAACGAGCAGTTGCGGATTCCAAAACGTTGTGCACACATGCACTTCTGCGGTGTCCTTACCTTGACATTGCTCTTCGTACACTGACTGCAAATACATGTTCATTACATTGTCATTGAGCCACTTCCCAACGACCAAGCACATCACATCGGCCTCCCCCAGTCGAATCTCCTCCCTTCTGCCTTTCCATGTGAGTGGATATATGTTGGACTCGTCAACAACCTCCAACCCGTCCGACGAGCTTGATGTGTTATCGCCCTTCTTTCCCTGTCTCGTCTTCTCACACGACTCTGAACGTCCCAGATCCGCTGACCGGATTGTTCCCCTTGTCGCATACAAGTACATCCTGTTGTACCACGGGTCCTTCCGTGACAGGTGCTCCCATCTCTCCAACATAGCTTCCATTGTCATTATTTTGCAATTTGCCGCTGTCCTCTCCGTTGTTTCTTCGGCTTCTGTCATTGTGGCTTTTGGGCTCTTCTCCGTGTGCGTCGCTCCCTTGTCCAACTTTTGCATTTCCACTCGCTGCGCTCAACGTGGTCTTCTTTCCTCGGTATTGTTTTCTCTCGATTACTCTCCATCGTGACGTCGGTCACGCTCTCACGACCAGGGTTATTTCCTTCAGTTGTCCGCATCAGTGTTGTTCTTGATCGTTTCCCTCTTCTCGTGGTCACGTCTCTTGCCACTGCTGAAAGGTCAGTGTTGTTCCTCGTGATGAGTGACATTCTACCTGTGAAGAAGCCAGCAGCATTTTCACGAGCTTTTTAGCGTCAGTTTCGGTTGTCGTTCCTTGGTCAAGCGATGACAGGGCTTGGAGAGAGAGAGAGAGAGAGAGAGAGAGAGAGAGAGAGAGAGAGAGAGAGAGAGAGAGAGAGAGAGAGAGTTGGGTGGTGGGGGCCATAAAGAGGTGGTGCGTGAGCGGTGTTTCTTTGATTGCCACGTACTACCCAACCGGACCGTGCTGTCACCGTTCAGCGCCGCGAGCGACATATCACAATACAAATTTGTTCAAGTAAAAAGTGTCGTCACGTTGTCTTCCATATGTTGATGAACCCCACTTCGGTTTTGCGAAACATGGAACAATGTATACAGTGTTCGTGATGCTGTCAACGGAGATGACACTGCACATCTGGCGACCATTTATCACTTCCCATTTCAATTTTTTGCACCCTGTCACATCTGCTCTTTCAGTGTCTGCCTCTTTATACCATTTTACAAAGGCGCACTCGTGCATGGTGGGCACTCCTTCCGTACAGGTGTTCATGACAAAAAACATTGCCACAGATGCATACCACATACTTCCTGTCTGTGCCCTCACAGACACATCGCTGTGCACCACTTTCCTGTGGAAGTTGGGTGAAGCCCTCGCAGTTTGCACAAGTGCGCCCCTGGTTGTTCCATCGCCTGTTGCTGCGATGACAAGATGCGTTCTAGTGCATATTAACAGGTCCTCTGGCGGTGGATTGCACCCTTTTTCCGACATGTACGTGTGAAGAGCTTCTCGAAATAACTCCTTGCACGGGAGGGCATCCAATATTGCTTTGGCAGTTCCCGTCACACCTTCGTTCCCATTTGTTCCTGCATTTTCTCGGGGGAAATATCAGAGTTGCATCTTTGCCGTGTCGCGTGCGGCAAGTGTGTTCATTCCACGTGCCGAGCACTCCATGACCGACAACCAATTTTCAGTTGTCCTCTTCATGTATTTCCATGCACGGTCAATCTCGTCATCGAATGCGACTGTCCTTCGCACGTGATTTACCATTTGAAACGAGGCTTTGCGCTTGTTCGACGACAGGAAAGGCAGTTTGCAAAACTTCTGGTGGTGGTGCTCCCAGACATCGGCCGCGAAGCTGTCAGGGAGACCTGAACGTTCGATGCACGCCCTCAAATGCTGAAGGTCATGTAACTTCGGCACTGTTTGAGGATTGTTATGAAGTCCGTCATCAGATTGTCACATGCGTCAAGCGAATAACTTGAATGCTTTATGCACCGAAACATTAAGATATACAGTTCCATTAGTTTCTTGAAACAAGATGTTATTCGTTTCTCTACTGAACCGGGGACTATGTTGGACACTATGAATACGCACTCTTTCATGACCGACCGGTTCTGCTTAGTTTCGAAATGGCCCTCTCGTGAAAAGTAGTTGCAACAGGTAGCACAAGTTGCGGATACGTAGTACTGCTTCCCTCGCTCAACGTCTGCAACCTCGCATCCAACTCCTTCAACACATGGCTTTGTGGGACGTGGCTGAACTTGTCAAAGGCAGCTGCTTTGAAATCGTCTAACATGTGCAAAAAAATGTCGTGCTCAATGGTGTGCATGCGGTCCGGTTGCAGACCCAGGTGGTAGTCGAACATCGGATCATTGTCTTCAGGACCTCTATAAACCCCCCACAGGCCGTTCTCTTTCACATGCGTGTGCATGTTCAAGTTCGACAGTTATGTCTTCGCCAAGCGACGAACATCATCGTTGTCTGTCGTGTGGAATTCAGTTAGAAGTGCATATTCCTTGATTTGTGATCGACGACAGTTATTGTAGTCCGCAATGACATCAAAATGTGATTTTGACACTGTGCATGTCGCGCAAACACCGTATCGAACCGTTGCGATGGCGCACCTCTCAGGGTAATCTGGAATATAATTCAGCAGAAAACGGTGCACTGTTACTTCTCCCCAACGCTCATCGTCATAAACAATGCCATCATGCGACGCATGCTTCGCAGTCTGCAACACCGCAGACAGAGCTGAGTGCAATATGACGGCTTTGCGTTGCCTGAACGTGGTGCTTTGCAAACCCTATCCCTTGTCTCCAAGACGGTGATGGAGGACAGTAGGATACACGAGAAGTGTCGTGTCATGTGCATGGTCACCTATTGACATCATTAATGGATATGTTGTCTGTTCCTGCCGTCCAGCTACATGTGTCTTGTCAGAATACAGACAGATTGGCACAACATACCGTGTTTTGCCATTCTTATCTATGCCTTTGTGCGCTCTCATGACGGTCTGCACGTGATGCCGCAATGCTCCACAGCGAGCGCTGTCTATTGTTGGTTCTGGCTGGGGGGGGGGGGCGAGAGACACGGCACTGTTTCCATGTTCCTTGTCGCTGCTTTGAGCAGTGACGTGAAAGTCGTGCGCCAATCTCGGTACCACGGCATGTGCATCCGATAGCCAGTCATTACTTCTGAGATCTATCTCTTGCCGCCCGTTCGTCTCTGCCTGCCTGCTCGTCCAACGTAAAAACTCACGGTTGTTGCGGTACACGATTTCCTGTGGTGAGAAGCTTGGATCTCTCAGTACTGAGAGAAGAGCGTCAATGTTGTTAAGTGATATCCCTAAGCCACCCCTAGAGGACAACATGATCGCAGCAAGTCTGCGGGATGTGTCAAACACCCGCACGTCGGGGGGATCTTCCTCGGAACCACATTCCATTTCGGCTTCCACAGCGAGGTCGACGATGTTCTCTCCCAGACCATCGCCATCCGGCGCGCCGTCCTCCCCCTCGGATATGTTGTCTCGGCTCTGTCCGTCGTCATCGTTTGATCTACGACTCGTTTGTACCGGACATGCCCTCGCGCGATGAGAGTTTAATGTCCTTAATGAACTAAAAGGTCGATCGCATTCACACACCATGTGGTCGTTCGTCATCTGCTCTGTCGACTATACAGGATATGAAATACCCTCACACCTACAATGCCAAACGCTTTGCACGCACAATTGACTTACTACTTGGCCCTTCCACGAAGTTCATTTTTTTATCCTGCCTCGCTTCCACAAACACAACAATAAAAAGACACGTTCAGTGTTCCATTCCTAACTGAGCACCGAAAAGTGGAATCCCGCTTTTCCAGACATACCACTGTCTCTCGTGATGTTCATTTCCATTTATATTTTATCCACCTGCCAATGAGCCACAACACCCTGCGGCAGAGGTTTGAGCTATGGTCATTGTGGACACATCATCGCAGTCGTTTAACCGCACCAACACTCACGAGAGAGAGAGAGAGAGAGAGAGAGAGAGAGAGAGAGAGAGAGAGAGAGAGAGAGAGAGAGAGAGAGAGAGAGAGAGAGAGAGAGAGAATCACACAGTATCCCTACAGTATCACACAGACTCGCACAGGCTACTACGGGGGTCGAATCAGGTCGGATTGGGATGGCCCGTTGGATTGCATGGGTGTCCTTGTTTTTCTCGTTTTTCGGATCAAGGCCGGGGTAATCTTGTGACAGTAGGTAGCCGATCGCGCCTTAGCAAGCGCGAAATAACTGATGCCATAGCTTCTTTCTGGTTTTGCTGAGGGGAATGGGAATTTGGCGCGGTCGTCGCACATGATTTTTTTTTTTTCGAATTTCTAACTGAGGTCGAGCCCCCGTGGGCTCTTGAAATTTGCTTTGTTCGGAATTTCTTTTTGCAATTAGGATTTATATAAGGAATTTAGGCGCATCTCAATTTCTGTTGCACAACGCTTCTTGCTTGTGCACGCTTTGCCGCTACAAGATCTGAGCTCTGACTTTTCCGCGCCTTAATCCTTGCGTGTAACTATAATTTTTGTTTTGGTGGGCATAATTATAACTGTAATCCTCTCGTTCTTGATATCGTTTGTGGCGCCCTTGTGTGCACGTACTTCTTCCTTTGTTTTATTGGCCCGATCGTTTGCATGACCGGATCGACGTGTGGAGCGTGGCTACGTCCCCCACACCGTGGCTTGGTCATGCAGACGCAAGCACTTCCTTCCTCCTCCCTTCCTCCTCCCTTCTTCCCATTCAGACCTGATCCCGAGTATCTCGAGCAAGCATGCATACTATAAATTTCACAAGCGCAATTAATTCCCTCTCTAAGAAATTTTAGAGTTATCGTGGTCGAGAGGATCGGCAAACGAGCAGGAGTTGGAAGGTGAGTAGAGAGTTGGGCAATCCGACGAGTTGATGCTGGGCATGTGGGGTTGACGTGGGGCCGTGGCTGGCTGTGGCGCACGGGCGAACCTGGCTTGCATGCTCGGATCAAGCAGGGTGATAACTTTGAGTAGGTGTGAGGCGTCAAACTGCCCGCATCGGGGTATTGAAGGGAAAGAGAGAGAGACAGGAAGTGTGTGGTGGAGTTCTTTTTCTATTCCTCCGAAGTAATTTTGGTTCTTCTCTTATTCTTCCAAACAATTTTTGATATACGCCGCAAGTCACCCCTGTCCCTTTGGTTCGAGCGGCATCTCAAATTTCCTTTTCGTTGTAACAGTTCTCCTTGCTTCCTTTCTTCAGAAACGGACATGTGGATCGTCTATCCCCGCTCCTTGTCTTTGTCTTTTCGAATCAGCAAATCTGATTGATTGGTTCTAACCTGAGGTGATCGAGTCCTGTGTGATCTCAGGGGCAGATTGGGCAAGGAACTGTTCCATGATCTTCGATTCTTTTGTTTGTATGAAAGCTAGATGCTTGCGTGATAAGTGTGGATCCGTCTGTGTATGAGTGGGATGGGCATGCTAGGCAATTGAACGACTGTCTCACTGTAGGATGATTCACATCGCGAATCACTGGCTTTCACTCAGAGAACAGGTCTCGTGCACGCACGTGTAGGCTC